CTGAGGTGGAAGGATCACCTGAGAAGGTTGAGGTTGCAGTGAACCATGATGGTGCCACCACACTTCAGCCTGGGCGACCAAGTGAGAAACTCAAAAAAAAAAAAAAAAAAAGAGGGTGATAGCAAAAGCTCTGAACCCAACCTGGTTTTGAATCTGGGGTTTATCACAGGTAACTTTGAACAAGTCACTTGGAAGCTTTCTAGCCTCAAGTAATTCATCTGTACAACATGGTTTGCATGGCTATAATCAAAGTTAAATTGTGTATAGAGCCCCTGGCACAGAGGAGACATTTAATAAATGCTCTCTCCTGCTATCCTTTTAATTATTTTTGTGGTTCTAATTGTCAATGTTGCATTTGTATGGTTATTATAGATTACAAAACATTTTCACACGTTCTCACTGATTGCAGTTCAATTTACTCCCATACGCTTTTGTAATCTTCCTCTGTCCTATCATATTGTCATCACAAGAGTGTATTTGCCAACCCCATTAGACCAAGCACATCTTAAAGTGGAGTATCACCACTTACATATGCCAGGTCCTGGCATAAACCAGAGGCAACATTTCCATGTATCATAGATCCATGCAAGGATATAACTTTCTCACAACCAAAGCTCTTCAGAAGAGAGCAAGTAGTTTTGAGAAGATGTAAGCACCCTCCCCTTGAGGATATGTCGGGGCCACCTGGCAGGGACACTGTTGGAATGTGACTGGCTGCACTGGCTGGGAGACTGACTTCAAAGAGATGGTTTCTAAGCCCCTGCTTTACATTCTATTAGTGTTTTAATCAGATGAAGCAGTTCTGATCTCCTCTCAAGTTCACTCAAAGTAGTATTTGTATTCATCTAAGTTTGTGGACCCTGTGCAAAGTGAGCTAAACATGGCTGGTGTTGAGGATCCTTGATCTTTCTGCTCTGACTGCTCTTCAAAACTCATGAAACTCATCTTAGTCCCAGTAGATAAAGTTTTAAAATTTAAGAAAATTTTAGAAGAATGCTTTTATATGAAGACAGTACCTTTTAAAACATCAAATTTGACCTAAATATTTTGGCAGTTTATGCTATATGGCCTTTTGGATTTTTTTTTTTTTTTTATCTTTCATGGGATAAAAAACTTCAGTGCCCCTACCTCAAGAGTTCTGCAAGTTCATATTATGTAAATATATGTAATAAAATATTTACTTAGGGTTTCCATAAAAAAGGTCCAAAGCAGAGAATAAGAGAGCTTCTCTTTGCTGGTTTTAAAGGCTTTGCTGGAACTTCTGAGTGAAATTTAAGCCTCTCAAATATGTTTTGATTGGCCTCCTTCATGTTTTATCTCTTGTAATGAACTCTTTGTCAGTTTGTCAATTTTGACAAAGGACAGAAAGTTCATGTGTAGTAACAACACAAAGACTGAATTTAAAATTATGGTTTGCATTATGATGTAATAATCATCTCTTTTTTCCTTTAGTCAATATTTACCTGTTAGGCCAATGTACTATAATGCTGACTTCAAACGAAGACACTTTATTTTACCTTCTCCAAGTGTTGGTTTTAGATACTTGAAATATCAAAACTGGAAGTTGAGCCGTCGGAGACTCTTGGCTGAATTCACTTGGAGTTGAGTTCCTCGATCGCAGAACAGGTTTCACTGTTCCCAGTGACCCAGCGACACAGCTGCGTGCCTGTCAGAGTGAGGCAGCTAAACTTGGAATCATGCTGGTTTCTCTCAGCTTTCCAGACAGCCTTCTTCTCAGTGGGAAACAGTTCTATTGTATTACCCCATAACAGCTGTGATCCCTTAGGTAAACTTAGGTATTCCCAAATATATTAACATTACAGGATTGGGCAGAAAAACCCCAAGAATGCCCTCTAGGAGAGTGGTCTCTGAATGTCAGACCAGATGAAGAATGGGGAATTTTAAATTCTTTTCCTTGCCCAGACCTCTATTTTAAGCACTCTATGTATAAGCATTTTTCCATTTTAAAAACTAAAGGAAGAAGCTGGGATCGGTGGCTCAGCCTGTAATCCTGAGCCTTTGGGAGGCTGAGGTGAGTAGATTGCCTGAGCCCGCGGGTTCGAGACCCGCCTGGGCAGTGAGACCTTATCTCTACAATAAATCAAAAAGTCAACCAGGCGTGGTAGCGCATGCCTGTAATTCCGGCTACTTGGAAGACTGAGGCGGAAGGATCGCCGAAGCCCAGCAGGTCGAGGCTGCGGTGTCCAGGAGCGGCTACTGCACTCCAGTCTAGGCGACAGAGTGAGACTCCAACTCAAAAAAAAAACCAAACAAACAAAAACTAAAGGAAGAACTGTCCCCCAGTGAGGAAGGAATAGGGGGATAATAAGTAGCTTTAAGGTGTACAGATAAAATATATGATACCTTAGTACTGATCATTCAGGTAACCAAATGAGCAAATGGCAATGTGTTAATAAACTCTTCTGAGCCAACCTGGGTATCAGTCAGGACTCTTTCAGTGATTCATAACGGAAAGGGAATTGATTGGCTCATGAACTGCCAAGTTCGCAGGTAGACTTGTTTCAGGTTCATCTGGATCCCAGAGTTCAAATGAAGCCATGATTCTTCCTTTCTTTTTAAACCTATTATTTTCTGTAGTGGCTTGATTATATGGCAAAGGTATTTTCTGGCAGCTCCAGCCTTATATAGTTCTTAGTGTCTGGGATCTCAGGAGGGAGACCCTCTTTCCTGAAGTCCATCTCAATCCTTGAAAACGTCTCAGAACAAATCTACTTGTGTCACATGCCTATGCCTATTCCAATCACTGTCAACAGGGATCAGATATAGTGAAACTTCATCAAGAATATTTTCAACTTAAGAAGATTTAACTCTGTACTTGTGTCTTCAGTGTGCTGCTATCTGCCCATGGTGCTCTACTTATTTTTTGTAGAGACAGGATCTTGCTCTGTCACCTAGGCTGAAGTGCAGTGGCATGATCGTGGCTCATTGCAGCCTTGAACTCCTGAACTCAAGCAGTCCTCCTGCCTCAGCCTCCTGAGTAGCTGGGACTCCTGGTGCACACCACCATGCCCAGCTTATTTTTTATATTTTTTACAGGTAGTGTCTCACTATGCTTCCCAAGCTTGTCTTAAACTCCTGGCATCAAGTGATCCTCCTACCTCGGCCTCCCAAAGTGTTAGGATTACAGGCATGAGCCACTCTGCCTGGCTAATGCTGTCTTTAAATGATATATTTATTTCACATGTGTACTCTTTTTAATAATCTGTTCGTTGTATGCATTTTCATACACATATATACATGTGTGAGGACATGTATGTATATATATTCATGTGTATGCGTACATGTGTATATATACTTATATTCACATAAACCATATTTGATAGGTGATTTACAGGATGTTAGAAGTTTATAACCTAACTACCCACCCCAGTTAAGGTACAGTTCTGCCAGCCTGGGTTGTCTGACTACCTCTCTGGCAGAACTGGTTAGGCAAGGCCTATTAAAAGACAGCTCCACCAGAAAGGTCTAAATGGAAAAAAAGTTAAAAAAAAAAAAAAAGAATTTAAGTGTGAATCTCAACATGGAAGTTCCCATGTGTACCCTCAACTCTAAATAAAGAGATAAAGATAAGGCTGGGCACGATGGCTCACATCTGTAATCCCAGCACTTTGGGAGGCTGAGGTGAGAGGATTGCCTGAACCCACAGGTTAGAGACCAATCTGGGCAACTTGGCAAGACCTCATCTCTACAATAAATTAAAAAATTAGCCGTGCATGTTAGCATCTGCCTGTGATTCCAGCTACTTGGAAGGCTGAGGTAGAAGGATCGCCTGAGCTCAGCAGGTAGAGGATGTGGTGGCCATGAGTGTGCCACTGCACTCCAGCCTGGGCAACAGAGTGAGACTTCGACTCAAAAATAAAAAAAAAATAAAAACAGAAGTTCAGAGGAAAAAAAAAAGAAAAAAAAGTCAGTCTTTTATTAGAGGGAAAAGATAAACAGACTATTGATTCATTCACTTCACAAGTATTTCTTGAATACCTACTATGTGCAAGATACTCTCCCAGGCACTGGGTGTACAACCATGAACACTACACAAAAGGCCTGACTTGCTGGAGCTTACAGTGTAGGGAGAGAGGCAGACAGACAGTGAACATATTAGCCAAATAGAGGTGTGCTGTGACATCTGGTTGTGAATAGAGCTCTGAAGAAAGACCATGGTAAGCATCATCAGATATGGAATAGGTGCTTTAACAGCACAGGTGGAGGACACAGAGGGCAGAAGAAGCTCTTTCAATTGACCCTTATAAGGTAGGGAGGACTTTGATAGGAAGATCCTGTTGAGATTATCCCAAGCATAGGAAAAAGCATGCGCCAAGCCAATATCTGAAAGAGGTGAGGGAAGATACATTTAGGGAATGGAAAGAGGTTTCCCATGATAACTGCATATAGAGCATGTGAAGAATGGGGCAGGAAGGCTGACAAAGTCACTTGGGGTACAACCATGCAAAGACACAAATAACAGGACAAGGAGTAACATCACCAGATTTATGGTTAGAAAGAGTATAGCAACCATGTGGAGGGCTTGTTAAGAGGGCACAGAGGCAAGGTAGGATGGCCAGTTGTGGGGCTAAATAAAGACTGTGCAGTGGGAAGGGCCAGGAATTCCAGAACTTTCAGAGCCAGTATCTGTAGGCTTTGGGGATTAACTAACTTCTAGTGACCTGAAAGGATTTGCTCATCATCTAGAATGAGCCATGTCTTCTTATGTTTACTCAAAGATAAGAAGCCTTTAGAAGTGGGAAACATCTTGTGAATGTGGTTAATCTTGTTTATTCACTATAAAAGTCCCATCGTCTTTTGGTGTACAGTGAAGAAAGTGACAATAGTGCAGGTCACAGGGGTTAGGTAGAGTGCTGGCAAGACTGGAAATATTGGCCTAACTTCAAGTCCTATGGCCTCTGAGACTGACATGCATTCTTGGAAGGCATTCCTGAGAGGGATTCGAAACCAGGCTGATTGTCCCTCTTGTGCATTTACAGGCAACTTTGAAGTGGGAGTTCACATCGCTGATGTGAGTTACTTTGTTCCTGAGGGATCTGATCTGGATAAAGTGGCTGCTGAGAGGGCCACAAGTGTCTACTTGGTTCAGAAGGTAAAAATCTGTCTCTAGTTTCTTCTTCCTTTTTTTTGTTTTTCACTTTTCTAAAATTAAAAAAAAAAAAATCACGAGGAACAGCAGTTTTATCTGAATATCCCTGGAAAAGTGCTTGTTTTCCTGAAGAAATGCCAAGAGAAGATGCAGGTATTCATCTCAGGTCTCATCTCAGAGTGACTCTGTCACATTAGTAACTCCAAGTGGTCAGCTTCAGAAAGAAAAGAGGAAAAATACTTGCTTTCAAACTATTGTTCTAAAGTAGAGCTCAGCAAGCTCAGCTACACCAGTCACTACTTTTTGTAAAGTTTTTTTGGAACCCAGCCGTTCCATTTGTTCATGTATTGTCCATGGCTGCTTTAAACTACAACAGCAGAGTGGCATGACAATTTGCTATTACTATAGGCCCTTTAAAAAAACATTTTCAACCCCACTCTAAAGGGTGGGCTCCTATCTTGTTCTGACCTGCCCTTTGCAAGATAGCCATTGGAGTTCCCAAGATGGAAAGCAAAGGGAGACAAGGAAAAGTCTGGGTTTTTCCTTCTTATCCTGACTCCACCACTCCTGGTGAGTCACTAAGTGTTAAGTGTCTACAGACCTCCCTAGGCTCATGTGTGAAATAAAGGAATTGGACAGAATCATCTCAAAACATTCCTTTTATTCTGTGTAGCTACAGGTAACCTTGAGAATCCATTCCTTCAGTAAGTATTTATTGAGTACCAGTTATTTGCCAGGCACTGCAGTAAGCACTAGGGACAGGGGTGAATAAGGAGACAAACATGAATTACTTCTACCTGCTAATGTAATTCATGAATTCCTCCAGGTTTCTTCCCCTTCCTTTTGACATTTTGTTCATTTGCTCATTTGGCTTGTCTTGCTTCTTTGGCTGTTTCTGAATTTTCACTTCCTATTTTCAAATTCAGTGGTCCAGTTTTAGATTGCTACCTATACGAGCTTGAAACTTCCTGCCTTCCAAGCCCCATGCCCTAGGACATGATTTTGGTATTTGCTCATTACTGCACTAAGGTGAGAGGTTTATCCCCATCACCCACCCATACATACCAAGGCACTCACTCCGGGAACTGGATATCCTTTGCTCGGGACAAGAAACCAGTCCAAGAGCCAAACCTACTCCGTTTTGGGAACTTCCAAATGTCATCACCCAGGGAAAGGATACAGCTACTCAGTCTCTCTGAGTAGCTTAGTCTGATCAGCAGCTCCTGTTGTCAGCATGCCTGTGTGCCTTCGTAGCAGAAGGAAAAACTAGGCTCTGAACTCTCCTCTCACAAGCAGCATGTCCTGATAGGCCACTGTACTCTGACTACTGCCTCTCTGACTCCTGGGGAAATTCACTCTGCTGCCTGCCATATATAGAGTTATTTAGCAGGTGCCAAGCTGTGGGTTTGAGGGGGCCACCAACATAGGGAGCCTGCTGAGGCCCTGGAAAGGTGGTTCTCTGAACTTTATGTATGTATAGATCTTGGCCCAAGTATTGAGGCATGTCTGCTGGACAGCATTTCCCTTCTCTTAATCTTGCTGACCTCTTTTCCTTCCCTCACCCCTTTCAAAAAAAGAACATGAAAAACTTGTGCTCCTGATCACGTAAACTCCTGTTTCCTGCTGTGTCTCAGAATGGACCGACCCTTTTGTTGGTATATTGTCTGGATGCTGTCAGGGCAGGACACTAGTGTTCTGCTCACCCTGGTGAGCCAGTCCCAGTGAAGTCAACTGCATGTTCTTATCATACCTGGGCTTTGGCCACAAGGAAGGATGAGTCTCATCCTGGCAATATAAAGGGGAACAGTGGATCATTTTTAGAGTCAGTCTTCTCATATATTCTGTTTATTTCCCAACTAGAGGTCCGAATACTGACACTGACTACTTAATGTCAGTTCTGCCTCCTGGAAGCCCTATGGCACCACTTCATATGCACCACCTCCCCTTCACACCATTACCCAGGATACACAGTGAATATACCAACTGGCAGGAGGATGGTCAGACTCATAGACAGAGGGGCTATAAGCATATTCCAAGTAGATCATTGGCCTGAGGCCCAAGGCTTGTAAGTCCACCCTACTATGATAGGATACTTTCTGTTCAAGCCTGAAACCGTGGCTCTCTACAAATAGAGATATCAACTTGTGTCAAGGGTTTTTTGGTCTCCTCTTTCCTCTGGAGGTCACTTATTCTGGGACTACCACAGCTTCAGCATGGTTGTCATCTAAGGTTCCTACCCCTTCCCACAGACCATCTGTCTGATGCACAGGATTAGAACACCTGCCACATCATCCATACCTAGCAGCATGTGCAACTTGTGGAAGATGGATTTCCAGATTTCCCTCTGCCAGGCCCAATAAATCATAATACCATTTGCCCTTGAGTGTCCCAGCCATCTGCAGACAATAAAAGCACAAAATCTCTGAACAGGTTGTCACACAAGTGAATCATCATGTATTTCCCCAGCCCAACCTTGTACAGATCCTCCAACATCCGCATGTTGCAGACAGTCCTGGACCACTGATAACACCATAGTCTTCATGACAACTTCAAGAGGAGTGTGTTTTAAAATCTTTGTGCTTCAATTCTGTCAAAGTGCCTACATGACACTTACAAAGATATTGGCAATTCTGGAACAAAAGTCCTTCAGGACAACCCAAAAATTCTAGGATTTCTGGTATTCACTAAATGCTACTGAAAGTTTCTTTCATGTTTCCAGCCTAACCACCTTAACCTCTTTTAGGCTTTGATCACAGCCATATCTTTTAGGGGCTGGTGTTCCTCTCATGTTTCTAACCACTTCAATTACTAACCTCTCAAAAGGAAAGAGACTCTTCTAGGCTTTGATTACCGTCATATCCTTTAGGAGTTGAAGATCCCATTGCCTGTGGTCCAAGTTTGGCTTCCTCAGTCTAGTTGAGCCCAATAGTTGACAGTGATATCTTCAACCACATGGTAGAGTCACCCTGCCTGACACCCTTTGCTCCCATTTCAGAGGGAGCTAGCCTAGATAGGCTTTTCAATACACAGAGGCCCTTCCAAGGAACACCTTGCACCTCCTCTCCCCGGCTTCGTGACAGTACTTACTGGATCACTGCAACCTAGATTTGAATAAAACCCTATCCCTACCTGCGCCAGAAGAATTAGACAGCTGGTTTCTTGATGGATTCAGCTTTGCCTGCCGTTTATATTAGGTGATCAGAACCACCATGTGGGTGTTTTCTGCCATCCCAGAACTGAGAATGCTGAATGGAGAAGAAGACAAAGTTGATCAGAACTGGGAAATTCTGAATCCAAAGCAGCATGATCATCAAAACTCAGTTCCAGGTAACTGTGCCTTGGGCAGTAGGTGACCTCCATGCACAGTGGTGCCTGAAAGAACCTTCAGTGACCACTTAATGACAATGGCTAGCTGTATTCTCATCTTAGCAAGGCAAGTTCTATACCAGACTTCTAGTTTTAAAAAACCATATCCCTACCTGGCCTCTGAGGTTGGTTTAAGCCTAAATGAATTATTTAAGATCTTACATTTGGCTTCCATCCCTGGCAGTATCTGTGACACCTGTGTCTAAGCTGTGAGTAGATATAGGTATCTTAAAAGAATGCAGCACAAACTTATGATCCACAAGTAGATCTGAACATGAACACACCAGGCTTTCTCCCTGACCTTTCCTTCGTGGCCACGAAACCAAGGCCATGTACCAGCTGCTGCATCCTCCTTTTATAACCAGGAATTAACATTTCAAAATCAGAAAATGAAAAAAATAAAATTGGGTTAAAAACTATGAAGCAGCCGGGCTCGGTGGCTCAGCCTGTAATCCCGCGCCTTTGGGAGGCTGAGGTGAGTGGATTGCCTGAGCCCGCGGGTTCGAGACCCGCCTGGGCAGCGAGACCTCATCTCTACAATAAATCAAAAAAAAATCAGCCGGGCGTGGTAGCGCATGCCTGTAATTCCAGCTACTTGGAAGGCTGAGGCGGAAGGATCGCCGGAGCCCAGCAGGCGAGGTTGTGGTGGCCAGGAGTGGCCACTGCACTCCAGTCTGGGCGACAGAGTGAGACTCCAACTCAAAAAACAAAACAAAACAAAACAAAAAAAACTATGAAGCATGTTTCCCTTCTATTTACTTTGGTTTTGTGAAGATCACAGTTCGAGAATTTCTTTGAGACTGCAAAGTTGGGGCTCTGCTGCTAAGTTCTGAAAGTGGGGAGCTGGGTGGAGGAAGGGCCCATGTGCCTCTGCTGCCCGGCACTGCCTCCAGCTTGGCAGGCACTAGTGGCGCCGGCCCGCAACCTTGGACAGCAACAGCTGCGCATTCTGATTCCTTTGAACCGCTGCTCTGACCTTTCTTCCTACTCATTTTTGTTTCTTAAAGGATTGTGTCCAGGAACTTTTCTGCTGTTTTCACTTTACTTTGCCTATAAAGGTCTTCTTAAAAGCTGGATGGGCTGCTTCCTCCTATCCCTCCAGATTCTCTGCCTTCTCATTTGGCACAATCATTTCTCCCAACTTTATCACATGGGCAAAAGGGGGGTTGGGGTCTTCCAGTTGGTTTCCCTCTATAAAAGAATGTGGCACTGATTTCTTTTCATTCAGACGTATAAGTGACTGATGTCGGAAATGCTATCTAAGTTTAATTTGGGGTATTAACCCATAGAGTTGGACAACATTCAACAAAATAGGTCTTCGATCCAAATAGCATCTCACCAGCTTTTAAATGAAATTTTTTTGTTGAGATTTTACTCACAGTAATAAGTACTTGGTTACTCTTGTTAACAACAGGGTATACTCAGGCAGAAAGATAAATTTAAATAGAGTTCATTTAAATCTCATGAAAAACCCTTTCTTTTTGACAAAAGATGGTTCTGTTACAACTGAGAACAACTGTCCTCAGAAGGACATAACATCTGCTTAATGTCTCAACTGTCTTCTCTGGGAGAAAAATAGAATGTAATTGCAGATTTTAAGGTAATTTTAGAAAATAAGTGAATTAAGTTTTAAAAGT